CTAAAGTAAAAAGGTCTTTTGAGGCGTTTTTTAAATGCCTTTAATGTCAACATTTCAAGGCATTTTCGGTGGCTAGAATACTTTTTAAAGGCACTCTAGAATTTGCCTTCAAACATTGATGAAGGGGTTATTAGAAATGCCTCCAAAACCAAGGTATCCATGCAATCATTTCGACCAATATCGAATTAGCACATTAACAATGAGAGCACACATTAACATTGGATGTATCCAAACTTTAAAATCTTTCAATGCAGACATAAGCTTTCATACGTAAAGCTAAACGATTATGGATTCAGCAGAGGAAGACCACTACGACTTCAATCGCAACGATTCAAATATTCGGTCAAGAGAACAAAACATCTCCAATCCATAGTCACGACTCCAATCTTTCGTACAGACTTAAATTCTGAACTACTCTTGTGCAGCCATAAAATTCTTCTAGGCGCTGTTTCTCGAGTCCAGCAGACAAGCCTTTCAAGCTCTTGACAATAACACGCTCAAATTACAAAAGACAAGCACCTATAACTCATAGTCTCATACTATATAACTACTAGTACAAAAAAGAGAATGGCGACACCACCACCACCGAGCGACAAAGGAGCAGCGGTGGCTGCCCATGACCGTCGGGGAAAAAGTGACGGCGCAGCCGCAGGGCCCCTCACCGGCGCGCGAGCTCGCCCGAGGGTGAGCTCGCCGCCGTCGAGCGGCCTTGTGGTGATGCCCTTGACCCCAAAGCCCGAGGCGTAGGACGCGCGGTGGCGTGACCTCCCAGCCGGCGGCTTGGGTGGTTCTTCCCACGCGACATTTGAGCAACACCGGCGGTGGTGACTACGGCAGGTGAGCCCCAGGTAGGCCCATGTGCCGTCCATCCGGTTTCTTGGTGTTAGGGTTAGGGTTAGGGTTAAACCCGATTTGCATTCTTTCGATTTGTCCATCTTCTTTCTAAAATTGTTCTTCTTTTCTACCCCAAGCTAGATCTACACCCTAGAAAGCCTAGCTCTGGTACCATTGATAGATAATTGTACCTCTAGAATCATAAATCAGGGGATAAAACTTGACTTAGATAGGGAAGCTTGGTCATGTACCTTGCCCTAAAGCGATTCTTGAGTGCCATAGCGCCCATGAGACAGGACATGGCGGTGGGTGGCGTGGTGTCGTAGTCGAGCGCCGCGGTGGAGACTTGTCCAGTGGCGGCGGCGGCGAACGCAGTGGCGCTTCTCATGGCTCACTGGCGCTCCCTTGATCGGTTAGGGTTAGGTGGGGAGTGGTGGCTGCGGTGAACCTCGTGTCCCGAGCCCAGTTCCCACCTCCTTACTATAATGCCGCTGCGATGATGGGGCCCACCAGCCAGGAGAGCGACTGGGCGCTCCCGATCAAGGCGCGAGTAAAGGACCCAATTGGCCATTGGGCCAAATTGGTGGAGATCATCCTAACAATGAGTTCATTATTCACAATGGTTCTTTACTCAGGAGACGTCCTGAGGATTAATGATGATAATGTTAAATGGAGACCGGACGGGACGTGGGAATTGTCTTTGGTGTTTAAGCCGACAGGGTTGCCTAGTCGTGCTTGTCCCATCTGTGTCGATTAAGGACCGATCGTTGTAGGGCCGCTTGTGGTCAAGAGTTTGCAGTACCGACCACATACTCCGGTAAGCCTAATATCTCTGCTATTACATCATGTGAAAAGACAACCGCGCACTGGGAGTGGGAGATGACGAGAGTAGCGTGTACCCACCCTACGGAAACATCTGGGATGACGTAGGGCGATGGAGTATTGTGCTCTCGGGTAACGTGGACCGGTTCATGTTTTGGAGGATCTGAGTGAAGGTTGATATATGTAGGTCTAGGACCCGCATATATCGTAATGGTTGGGAATTCCAGTTGGGTTTTAATCGATTCGAATCGTCACTGCTTCTCGGAAATGAAGATTCAATCAACTGAACTACATCATAGTTAATCAATGAAACATGATGACTTATGGATACGAGAAGAAATGAGTTGAGATGTTTAAAGAAGTGATTGATTTAGATTAGGTGCAAACTGGATACTGATATGAACTTAGTATACAGCTAAAATATTGAAAGTAAGGATCTACTTGTAAGCTTTTATGCAAAGTTATTTTTGAATCTTGCTTCAGACTTCCCTTGTATCCCTTAAAGCCTGCATGCCCTTGGAGTCTTTTCTTTTAGACGGGTAAGTCTTGTTGAGTACCCTCAAGTACTCAGGGTTTGTTAACCCCTGTTGCAGGTTCTGACCCATGTTGTTAATCAAGGTCATGTTGGTGGGCTCGACATGATCTGGTTCTCTTCTATGTTAGGTATTTTCTTATAGTTCTACTCGTCTCTTAGAATTAAGTTTTTACTTAAAAAATACTTGATACTTCGATGTATGAAATTTTTGTATCAATGTTGTAATGCTGTGGTAACTCCATTGTTGATCATGTATGAGTTGTAAAATGTGGATGATTTGGGGTTCCCCGAGGACACCCGACAGACTACCGGATTATCTGGCTTTCGTGTACGACAGTAAAAGGTATGTGGGCCATATAATTTGGATGGTTCTGCCACACGCACCCTAAATCTAATTTATGAAATGAATTCACCGACCTTGGATTGGATTGACAATTTGACATGAAAGCAGCTTTAGGTACATGAGAAGTTCAGCGCCCTTGGATTGACATTATATAAATGTCGGCAAATGTGCATTAGGAATTCAATGATTTTACATCTGCTACGTGCATAATTTATCGTTTTCCAACGATGCCCGACAACTTCACTCGCTAGTGTGTTGCACACTATATTCATCGAAACCCAAATCCCCCAACAACTCGAGCAAAGCGTTGTGCGACGTGCCACCTTGCTGCAGAGCCTCCAGGGCCTTCTCCTTCGCCGCCATTGCTCGCCAACGGAGTGCACGTCCGTCCTCCGAGTCCATCACGCCCACCTGACCTTTGCCTGCACCTCTGCGGCCACCACCTCCCTGTCATACCCTGCCATCTGCACCCCAACCCTCACCTCCTCCACCATCAACACCTTGTTCAGTCTCTGCTCCGTGTACAGCGGCCAGCACAGCAGTGGCACGCCTGCCGTTATCCCCTCCAGAATCGAGTTCCACCCGCAGTGCGTGACGAACGCGCCGACGAACGCGCCCGTCGCCCTGCGCCGGAGCACGTCCGCCTGCGGCGCCCATGACTTGGCCACCAGTCCCCGGGTTTTTTTGCCCTCTCCATGAACCCCTCCAGTACACTACAACATGACTCCTTGTACAAGACGTTTACAAATGCCTCAAAAAATGATCAAAACATTTTCAAAGACCTTTTTAGACATTTATTAAAACGTCGGCTAAAATACGAAAGTAAAAAGGTCTTTTGAGGCGTTTTTTTAAATGCCTTTTAATGTCAACATTTCAAGGCATTTTCTGGCTGGCTAGAATACTTTTTAAAGGCACTCTAGAATTTGCCTTCAAACATTGATGAAGGGGTTATTAGAAATGCCTCCAAAACCAAGGTATCCATGCAATCATTTCGACCAATATCGAATTAGCACATTAACAATGAGAGCACACATTAACATTGGATGTATCCAAACTTTAAAATCTTTCGTACAGACATAAGCTTTCATACAGAAAGCTAAACGATTATGGATTCAGCAGAGGAAGACCACTACGACTTCACTGCAACGATTCAAATATTCAGTCAAGAGAACAAAACATCTCCAATCCATAGTCACGACTCCAATCTTTCGTACAGACTTAAATTCTGAACTACTCTTGTGCAGCCATAAAATTCTTCTAGGCTCTGTTTCTCGAGTCCAGCAGACAAGCCTTTCAAGCTCTTGACAATAACACGCTCAAATTACAAAAGACAAGCACCTATAACTCATAGTCTCATACTATATAACTACTAGTACAAAAAAGAGAATGGCGACACCACCACCACCGAGCTTCTTGCCATTATCAAATCCAAAGGTCAGCAACCTCTACCCCCCCCCCACAATGGTTTCCCCCTGGCAATATAAACTGCAGAGAAGGAGATGGTTGGAAAAGGAAAGCACGGGGGAAGGCAAGTCGAGAAAATAGTGAAGGAAGCATATTCAGACCTAAAAAATTTCAAAGCATTGGAGAATCCGTATTGACATATAAACTTGTCAGCAATAGTAAAATTTCATAGTAAATAAATTAATATTATGGCTGATTAGTGGGCTCTAATAAAAGGAAAGCAACGTAACGAACGACATGACAGATTTCAAATACAACCATTTCATTGCAGGCTGGAATGGGTGCACCAAACTTGTTTTTCCAGAAATGACAAATCCCAGCTTTAGCTGATATCAACCAAGAAATTGTATTATTCAACTCTAATGGCTCTCACAAAAACACCTTGTAAGCTGCAAGGCAGAAAGGACATACGCCGATACACCATATAAACTGGAGATGTGTTGGCAAAGCATTGAACTAACCCTATACACCATATAAACTGCAAGGCAAAAACATTTTTACTCCTTTCAGAGGAAGCAAAGCATTGCAGCAGTAAAATAAAATAGGAAGGCAAATATTCAGGGATGTGTTGGCACGCATTGCAGCACTAAAATAGGAAGGCAAATATTCAGCACTAAAATACGAAGGTTTAGTACAGCAAAACAAGCAGCAATCAATTTTAGAAATAATTAAGCTTTTTTTTTGCGAATTACACGAGTACAGACGCACACGCTCACAACACGCATGCATACTCACCATATGAACACACGCACGCAAACCCTACCCCTATGAGCACCTCTGAAAGACTGTGCCGGCACATCTCGAGATTGACGAAATCACGCCTCGCTGTCGACGAGAAAGTCGCCTACCACCGAAAGCACGACGCCATTAAATCCTGAAATAAATCAAGAAAAATGCGAGTATCCGTGTCAAGTCGAGGACTTAAACCTGGGTGGGCAGGTTCCACCGAACCTAACTAATTGAGCTAGGCTCAGTTCGATGCAACGATGAAAATTCAGCAATTCATTGCAAATGAAAATGTATGCTCAGAGTTTTCCACTTTCCTGCGGACAGGAACCTTAGAACTCTAATGGAAAAGGAGTCCAACATCTTAACCAAATTCATGATCTTCAAGAGTATCTGCGAGAAAGAAAAAGCCAGTTCAATGCATTAACCAGTTATAAAAACAGAGCCTAACACTAAAATAGATGGGTGTGTCAAAATATCTCATTGAATCTGCTTCTATTGATTATATTTGCGAGTTGCATTCTTGTTTTTTATTGTGTCGACATGCAACCTTTTCAAAGACAAAAAATTTGGGTAGGACCAGTCATAAACAATCCTCCTTCTCTACCGTATAAAGTAGACTTTATATCTTGCTTACAGTGACCTGGGGTCCTTGACCCCTCTTGTTTTCGCAAAAAAAATGGAGAAGGGACCAAATAACCTTAGGCTGGGATATCTCATATGACTATAACGCTTATGTGTCGCTGCCAGTTACACGCTGCAAATGGTGAACTAAGTGAGTTTCAATGCATAGTGCATGTCAGAAATTACAACTCCAAACTATAATAAAGATAGATATTGAAGATTTATCAGACATCTATAACATTGAACAGAAGAATCCATATGCACAAATCATATAACGGTCAATAGAGTTTGGTTATTAATATTGTGACTATATAGATCATTTGGTTATATCCATGAAAATTACAATTATATTAGTCAAGAAGCCCTGTCAAAAGAATATTGTCTAACTGTCGGATTACCACAAAACTACCACTAAATTTCCCCTCTTTTTAGAGGCATTTTCAGAGGAATGCCTTTATACAATGAAAAAAAAATGCCTTTGACAAAACGTCTTTTAACAGACATGTTGTAGTGGTAGGAGCTCGCCGATGTCAGGTTCAGGTAACTGATGACCTTGGATTTGACATTCGATAATGCACGAGGTGCTTCCGTCCCTCCGTCTCGACGAGGCTTCCCAAGCTGCGCAGCGGATCGGCCTAACAGCCTGCTCACATTTACGTCTCCCCATTCTCTCTCATAAAAAATCAAATCTCTCTACTCTCTACTGCACCCCGCGACAGAAATTTCCCCACTCCGCCTCGCCCCGTCACGGCTTCACCATGCCGGCCGCCCACCCCACTCAGTCTCGCAGCCGGCGGTCCCCCGCCGCGCACACCGCATTTCCCGCCTGTCCCCACTCCGTCTCGTCCATCGCGGCCATGACGTTCACCGCACCACCACCACCCAGGCGCCACCAAGAAGAGGTCGCCGCCGGTCGTGACATCGTCTCCCGCGGCCTGGCGAAGACACCGCGGCAGGAAGGGGAGACGTGCACCTGCGCCTGAGGTGCACGTTCGGCCGTTGTTCTCGGTACGTGTCTCCTGAACCGAGCTTCCTGGCTAGCACAGTTCCCCACCAGGAAGGCTGTGGTCACCGGCGATGCCGTGTTTCAGATGTTTTAGGCGTATGTTTTAAGTGTTTTATTTTAATGTTGCATATGTTGCAATGCCTATATACACATGTTGCAAGCGTATATTTCAAGTGTTTCATCTTGATTTTGCAAAAGTAGATTCTGGATGTTGCATATGTTGCAATAGTTATACACGTATGTTGCAAGCGTGTGTTTCAATTGTTTATGTATTTAAGATATATGTTATAATTGTTTCATCTGGACGTTGCAAAACTAGATATAAATGTTGCATGTTTCAATGGCCACACAAGTAGGTTGCAAGTGTATCTTACAAATGTTTTAGCTGTTTCGGATATACGTTGCAAGCGTTTTGACATTACATCTTCTACGTGCATAATTTATCCTTTTCTAACGGTGCCTGCAGCCTGACAACTTCACACGCTAGTGTGATGCACAGTCATCAAAACCCAAGTCCGCCAAGAACTCGAGCAAAGCGTTGTGCGATGTACCACCTTGCTGCAGAGCCTCCAGGGCCTTTTCCTTCGCTACCATTGCTCGCGCACGGAGTGCACGTCCGTCCTCTGAGTCCATCACCCCCCTGACCTTCGCCTCCACCTCCTCTGCGGTGACCACCTCCCTGTCATACCCTGCCATCTCCACCCCAACCCTCGCCTCCTCCACCATGAACGCCTTGTTCAGCCTCTGCTCCGCGTACAGCGGCCAGCACAGCAGCGGCACGCCTGCCGCTATCCCCTCCAGCACCGAGTGCCACCCGCAGTGGGTGACGAACGTGCCCGTTGCCCTGTGCCGGAGCACGTCCGCCTGCGGCGCCCATGACTTGGCTACCAGCCCCCGGGCTTTGGTCCTCTCCAAGAACCCCTCCCGGAAAGCAGAGCGGCGCGTCGCCGATGTCCCCGAAACTGGCGTTCACCTCGGCCTGCTTGTGCGGGCAGGCTGACGGCGAGGCTGCAGGCTCCCGAGGTGTAGAAGAGGTACGCCGGCACGCCGAGCTCCGCGGCGACGTCGAGCGCGTCGATGCAGAAGAAGTCGAATACGAGCGCGCGCACGGAGGCGGAGGGGGCCACCGAGCGGAGGTAGTCGCGGAGCGGCGCGTTGGCGAGGCGGAGGAGAGCGAAAGGATCACGCGGCGGCTCCGGGGAAACGGTGGTGTCGGGCGGCGGCAGTGGCAGCACGTGGAAGTTGACGGACGGGTTGGCCTCAGCGGCGCGCGCGACTGCGGTCGAGGCGTCAGTCGACGCGGCGGGCGGCTCGACGACGACGATGGTCACGGCGAGGCCGTGCCGCAGGAAGAGCCCGCTCAGCTCCACCATCGGCAGGAGGTGGCCGACGCCGAGGCCTGGGTGCAGAACCACCGTGTCTCTCATCACGCTAAACTCCGACTGGCCCGCGGGGTGTCTGCCCTGCAGCAGTCGCATATGGAGGCGTGCACTGGTGATTGAGACTTGTACTATCTACAAGTCCAGCTACAATAATGGCTCTTGTACAACGCGTGTGAAAAATGACAAAACGGGAAACAAGGAGTGTACATCAACGACCGTGGCTGGTTCAATCTTGGATGTGTGCAAGGACTTTGCATGTTGCATTGCATCCCGCTATTCTTAATATTTTTTGAACAAAGGATACACGTGTGGGCACCTTAGGCTCGAGAGCTCCGCTCCCTGATTCTTCAGCTCTGCTCCTTGATTCTCCGATAGAGTGATTCCACTGGATTTCTAAGAGGGAGTAGGGTGGGGTTCAGCAGAGAATTGATTCTCAGCTGATCCCCACCAAAATACAACAGGGAGCTAGAGATAATCTAGGGAAGCAGGTTTTTTCGGCTCTCTCACTTGTATACAAAATAGAGGAGTGATTCACTTGGATTCCCTGAGAAAGCTGGGTCGTTTTTTTTCTACGTTTGGCAGCCGGGAGTGATTCTCTTCGAGAATCTACTCCATGAAGCCCTAAGAGCCCCATAGCGTCATATACTACCTATTCCCACCACACGCCTACGATTCTCGTTTGCAAAGGTGAAGCCAAAATGTTACTACTTCCTTCCTTTCAAATTATGAATTGTTTTTAGCTTTTTCTAAGTATACAGTTTTTGCTTTATATTTACCAGAAAAAGCTATATGGCACTCGAGTGTTTCTCGCGCTGCCCGCACTCGGTTCCTTCCTGGCCATCAGATCCACTGCAGAACCGGCCTCTCTTGTTCATCTTCTCCAAGTCCGGCGGCTTTAGAAGGGGGGCTCCGAGGAGGTAGACCGGCTAGGCGGTGGGAATGGTGGTCAGGCGGTTAGGGGCCTTTGGCGGCGGTGGAGGCAGCCAGGCCAGGTCAGGGCGGGGGCGCCCATGGCCGAAGCTCACCACAGAAGAAAGAGGGGGGGAGGGGAAGGAGGAGGCTACCGTGGCCGCGTTAGGGTTTCGTCGGAGCTCCACGGCCACGGCCATAGCGGGGCGGTAGGCGGCGACAGGGCCTAGGAGGAAGATGAACAGTGCTAAAAATCAAGTGTCCCCCCCACCCACCCAAAAAAAACACTTGAACCTCAGGTAGACAAACTCTAGATGCTTAGCGAAACTACGCTAGGAGAAAACTGACTTGCAATTTGAAGGATGAAGAGAGTACCTGCACCAACATCACCAATCAGTGGAAAGCACATGAATTCCAACCATAACATGTCTAGACAAACGCATGATTCACAATTGATTTCTAAATTTGTACAGCTGTAATCAGTGGTCTCTCTGAAAAGCAAGGCTAAAAAATATTGTTCGCTGATTTGTTGCGAGAGAAAAACATTGTTTCTTCACTAAAAAAGTACGATTGATAAGTCAAGCGAACATGGCACTCTTCGATCTTTGATATTTGAGCCTCCAATCTTGTATGACGGTATCATTGGAGTTACCAACTCTTGACTTTTGATATTTGAATTCCAGACCTGTATGGCGGTGCCACTGAACTTGCCCTAAATGGCTAAATGCCAACATTGGTCCAAATAGGCTTTATCTTAGCATGTTGACCAAATATATAGTACAAGAAAATATTAATAATATTATGATAAGTCGTTGAATCTATTTTTATAATAAATTTATTTAGAAATACAAATATTGCTAATATTTTTTTCTACAACCTAGTGAAACTTAAGAGAGTTTAACCATTACACGACACTTAAAAAGGAACATAGGGAGTAGGTAGCATACCATGTCTATTTGTACCCATGCATCCGAGACAAGTCAACGGATCTAAATGACACCACAATAAATATTTAGGGACCCAAATACATACTCTCTATTTTCCTGAGTAAATAGATTTTTAGAGTTGTCTTAAATCAATTTTTTAAAACTTTAACCAAATTTCTAAAAAATATGTCAAGTTTTATGACATCAGAATTAGTATTATCGCAGAATATATTTTTATAATATGCACATTTTTTGTCATAAATATTATTACTCTTTCCTATAAAGTTAGTCAAACTTAAGATAGTTTGACTTATCCGGATTCTAGTCATGGATTTATTAGGGAACAGAGAAAGTAAAAAGGATAGAGACCCAAATATATATATAAAAAATTAAGAGTTGAAAATCTGAATGACATTGCCTACGTGACAGCGTCGCTCTTTCTAGTTAATCACTGACACATTCACGTGGCTCGGATTTTGACACGAAGGCCAGCCTATCCAAATCTGCCGCCAAATTAGCACAGGAATACATATCATTTTCCACATTTAATCCTTTCCATATCAACATCTCGACAGCAGCATAAATTTTAAAAGGCGCTCCTGTCGCCGCCGGCTCCGCCAGCGGTCCCTTCCCGTCTCCGATGGCCTGCAGGACGTCGCGAGGGGGTGGGGATCGCTGGTCTCTTGCGGCGCCTGCGAGGCGACGGCGTCACGGCGGAATAAATCCTCTCAGACTCTTCCTCGCCCCATGGGCGCTCCACTCCGGCGACGATGGCGAGCCCGTGGAGGTGGTGCTCCCTGTGTGGAGTCCTTGTACAGGAATCCACGCGGACTGCCGTTCTGTCGTCTCCAGGGGGCGACAATGCTGGCGGCGCGCTTCGTCAAGGGTGCGGAGATGGCTGCGGGTGATGCGGACTGCAGGAGTGTGGATCGAGCTCGAGCTTCCCTCGGCGCGAGTCGACAGCGAGTTTTGATTCAAGATCGGAGGAGCCTGGGGCGCGTCCCCAGCCGACGCTTCTTCAACGACGGAATCGTCCCGGCCTCAGTGTTGGGCAACTACTGCAGCTCGATAAAGCTTCTATGCGATGGAGTTCCTCCAGATCTGGGCGGCGGCGGGTGCTCCTGACGCTGGAGATGGACGGTGGCGGCGTTCGTCGACGAGCACGGTGGCCAGGGTTAGGACAGCTGTCTCTGTTTCCTGTACCTTCGTATCTGTATGTGTCTGTGTACATTCTCCTTATCTAAGTAATACAGATACATTTTATCAAAAAAAAAACAGCATAAATTTTAAAAACATGGGCTTCACTAAAGATATACATCAATACAATGAATCAGTCATATCCTCAAAAAAAATTGCAATTTCTCATTCGACAAGGCAACGAAACAAGATTGAATGAAACTTGAGCCCCCCTAATCTGGGCCTAGTCACTACCAACCTACACTACTTACAAAAACCAACTATACTTTTTCCCTGTTTTTCATCCCTGTGTACAAGTACAAAGTTAGATCAAACTTGTGGCCTCAGTCAGCCACTCAGCTGCATGCAAATATACAGTTAGATAGCCTTGTGACATCCTGGCCTTCATTCTATATGTCCTACATCACGCTGCTTATAATCACAATTTATGGTTGTGGACTCCATGGGAGAGATTCCCTTGCTACTCCACCTGGGGTATGTGCTCTTCAACCTTTGATGGAAGCCTTGTGTATTGTGCCAGCAGACTCCCCCATTTCCCTTTCTATGCGATCTTATTGTATTTTAGTATCTCAAGCAATAGATAATGCAGTTGTAATTGGGGGTAGCATCACAAGTGTGGAGTAAGCTGTGGCGATACAACACCATGTGCAGAATCCCTTGCTCTTTCCGACTCATTGCGAAGAAAGCAACATGTTAAAGCAGAAGTGACTTACATAAAACACATCTTCTTCCCCTTGTTCCCCTATTTTGTATTCACCTTGTTATATGTCAGAAATGTTCCTTGTGGAATTCGAATTTTGTTGTAGACTTGCCATTGAATTCATAACAGAGTTTGCTTAGTTCCTGTGCCAGAACTGGAGCCCCACAGTAGAACACTCCTGTACACAACAACAACAACAACAATTACCTTCTTACAGTGATCATATCATAGAAGATGGGACCAAGATTACTGATTCGGCCAGAAGTAGACGTTGTTTACTCCTAGATATTTCTTTTTGGGTTATATGGACCTGCTTTGTTGCCCTGGCCACGCCCAGGCAGCACCATCCCACCCTAGGCGCTCAAAATCAGACGCCTGGGGTTGCTGCCTAGGCCAGGCAGCTTTCCCATGGTCTGAACTATACAGGCCCAAAATTAGCCAAAAACAAAAGTATAGACTTCCAAAAGTCCTTGTAAGCAAGGAGGCTTTCAAGTCCTTACCCATGTGTGCTCATTGTTCACAGTAACCACCTACTTTTACTGAGATCTAGGAAGTTTCTTGCTTTAGTTATATGCATGAGCTAGTTCAGGTTTTATAAAGGAGTTAACAAAACCATCCTGAAGGATATTCACAGCTAAAAATGATAAAAGGTAGCTTTCAACTATATCAGGAATATGAAACGTATCTGACTTATCTTAGCATATGGATGTTTGGTAGCTATCTTAGATAGGACCTTCTTAAAATTTGGTCTTGCAAAATGTGTCCGCACCTGCAAAAACAGCTTATCAGTACAACAAAAACAAAAAGATTTTTCTGCCAAGCGAGTTGGGGTAGGAAAAAAAGAAAGAAACAAAAAAGAACAGCATATCATTTGGTACCAAATGACAAGTTATTCCACATATTTTCTTAACCTGTACTACAATGAAGTTTTAACGCTTTAGGATGTGATGCATATTGGAGTGCTGGAACTTACTTTAGTTCCAGAAACTATATCAACGCCATTCTTGGCATGGTTGAGAGCTTGTAGCATCGTAATGAGTGCTGACCGGGCATCCCCTTCCTCATAAACACTTGTGAGATAGTTGTGCATCTCAATGATATTCTAGTATTGAACAAGAGCATCTGTAAGAACAAATTTGCAAAGGGAAAACCAAATAGCATGATTTGTAAAAGATAATGGCTCAATGATACATACCCTCTGATCTAGTTCAGCAATTTCATTCATGACCCCTTTAAACCAATCAAAAGACCCTTGTTCACGTGTCACCCAATAAAAGTAAGCATTTGTTGTCTTCAGTACCCTCTTTGGTTTTGAGGTAATCCTCATAAGGGTGTCAAGATCAACATGTGCCTTGCTGCGACCAACTGGTGGGTAAAGATCGCTTGAAGCTTCCTGCAATTTTTACGTGAATAAATTAATTACTGGTCTAGTCTGGTATTAATGAGGACAAAATTTTGAATAGATGACTAACTAAACACAAAGAAAACAAGAATTTCAATCATTGTTAATTCCTAGATCACAAAACAGAAAATAAGAGGCCAGTTTTTGTTTTTTTATATATAATATAAGAGGCCAGTTGGATATATGAGAAAGATCACTTACTTCCTCTTCCTCCATTTTGATGATGTTATTGAGCAGGTCTTTCAGTATGCTAATAAAAGGTGTGGCACCAATTCCTAATCCGACAAGTAGTAAAACATCATACTTGCTGTAGTCCTGTGCAGGAGAACCGTATGGTCCATCAATCAAAAGTTTTGGTAACCTGCATTTCCCAAAAAAAAAAACATGAAGCCCCAAATAGAAAAAACATATTATTAAGTGTTGAGATGCATATAGGGATTTAACATACGCTTTCTTAGTTGTCTCGTCTGCTCGAAGAAGGCCACTTTTCCCACCCACCGGTGGCTCACAAGCCGCTGAGAATACCCGCTTGAGCTCCCGTGTCCAGTCACCAAGTTGTCGAACATGAATGCTTAAATAGTCATCCCCAGGTGCTGAAGTAATTGAGAAAGGATGCCTGAAAGAAGAAACAAGTGTTTAACATATTCTACTGTCCAGACTCCAGAAACATGATTTTGTGAGCTAGCTCGAGTTTAGTTACAAAGAAGATCCACACACCATTCAAAAGGTGAAACTGCAGGGCATTGAACAAACATATACTGCCCGCTCTTGTAACGGAATGTGGGAGGTTTAGACATCTGCAATGTCAAAACATTACCAGGATATATAGCCACCTGCAAAAGAACCATGGGTCAGAGGACTGTAAACAAATTAATACTCAGATTTCTAAATATGTGAAGGTTACCTTCAATAACCGGACAGAGTAACTGCCTGATCTGAAAAACCTCAGAGTCCTCTCCCCTACATACAGACCAACAGGAACAGCAAGATACATCCATGTCTGTACAAAATAAAAGGATATTAGATACTTAAAAAGTTACTGAGGTCCACAGAGTAGACAGAATAAAAAATGAAGGTTAGCTCACCGTCTTTTTGTACCAGTCATGGATAAGGTATAGACACTCTCCATGAATAACAAGTGCTATGTACACAATGATGAACAAATGATGGGAGTACCAGAATGCATTGAAGCCAGTTAGTTTGTCAAATGGCCTTGGAAGCTTCACCAGGCTACGGCGGAACCACCTTGTTGCTAGAGTAAAAGCGATAAGCATACACACAACCATGATTACCCCTGATATGCCCTCCACTCCTTTTACCAGAGCTAGATATGTTGGTTTATTTTCCCCAAAGTATTTGCGCAGCGGAGCATACTTCATCTCTGATGAACTAATGAGCCGTGGAAAATCACATACAAGGTGGTTCCCTGCATGAAGAACAACACCAACCACAATTGCTGCTGCAATAGTCTGCCATTACAAAACAAGCAAAAGAAAAAATTGTTCTTTTAGTTATATTCTTGGTCTGGCTGAATCACATGTCACATGTATGTCCTTATTATGAAAAACCCTTATCAGGCACCACTAATGCCCCCATTATACTTATGATTAATTTTATGTTACATTCACAGCCAATAAGAAAAGTCAGCCATGAGTTGCCTTGGCATGGCATTGCCTGACTTTTACTTTTAGCTAAATTGCTATGATCAAATCACAGCGCACATACAATCAAATGGTTTTAGCTTATCGGTACCTCCTTTTAACTGAATATCAGGCATGAACATATTTCCATCAGCAAAATCACGTTCTTTGTTAGCTGAAGCTAAGCGGCAGGCAGAACACTGGCTACCTTGTGTGCTGATCAAGAACAATATTGAGTGAATATGATCTACCGTAAAGGCACAAAATGACTATTTAATAGGGTTAACACAATCTAGACTATGTCCCGACTGTAGGAACGTTAAATAAAGCTTTCAAACAAAATGCATGGAAGAACAATCCATCAATTGAGCTGTATATCTAATAGGTATAGTACCTAAGTCTCTTTTCGAACTGCTGGACATATGTGATAAAGCAGCCCCACATGTGACAACCATGCAATGCAAGGGACAATTCATTTAACCAATTTTCTTGAATCACATTCACGTGAATTCAGAACGACCGGCATGCGCTATAGAAACGAAGTAAAGATGATGAAAATGTGTAACATATCTCACAAACACACAACCACTTGTAAACCCTAAAGCTGTACCACGAGTCCACGACCCTCCAGCCCCCATTTTGAAGGGGCAATAAAGAACTAATTTAAGTCTAGGGCTAACCTTGTGAAAGTTTATGTTGTCATCGAACGGCAATGCTCGTGCAGCTTTTGTATTCCGCAGCCAGGTGATAGTGTTGCGGCATACAGGCAAGAGAATAAGTGCCATGTTCAGTTTGAGAGTCTCTGCAGCACCTTTCGCAGTTGTGACACAGTAGCCCATCACATCAAAGACATAACGGTTACGGTACTGAATGAACTTCCAAATGAACAACCCAGCCATTATTCCAATCCACACTGCAAGCACCCAGAGACGTTTCCAGTTGTCCTCCAGATAGTAGTTCAATGTGCTGCTAATTTTTCGGATTGGACTTCTTTTCCTTAGACCAGCAAGGTTCTGGCTTAGTGCCTGGCTTGTGTAGCTCAAGGCCTGGCTGTAGTTCACATAGGTATCCTTTTGCAGTAGCAGTGTCTCCAATTGCCAAAGCTGCAATGACAATAAAAAGCAAAAAAAATTCAATATGTCACATAATTGCACTCTACATCCCTAACACCAGACCAATTTGGAAA